AGCCTCCACCCTTAGGATGCAACCACAGGAGCCTTGTGATGTGTGTGTGTGTGTGTGTGTGTTTGTTTATAGGTTTGTGTTTATGGCTGTGTGCAATCAGAGAGAGAGAGAGAGAGTGTGTGTGTGTGTGTGTGTGTGTGTGTGTGCGCGCGCGCGTGCGCGCGTGTGTTTCTAGGTTTGTGTTTATGGATGTGTTTTCCATGATGGCCACAAGGTGGCGCCCTCCAGCCTTAGGAAACAACCACAGGAACTTTAGGATTCCAGGGCTGCTCAATGGCTTCTTACCTTCTTCTTCCCAGGCAGGAATTAGGAAGTTTGGGAAGGTTCCGAGATTTATTCATTCTTTCAGCCAACATTTATGGAGTTCGAACTGTGTGCGAAGCACACTGCCTGACACCTGTTAATGTTTATTACGCCAGAGATGGTCTAAGCACTGTAAATAGATGCTTACAGTGGAACAGGTGAGAAAAATGGCCTGAGGCTCAGACATGTGAAGTGAAACTGCCCAGGGCCACCCAGCTTGTTAACAAGGGCACCTGGCTGTGCAGCCTGGGGTCCCGTGAACCAGACAGATGGAGGCTCTGTCCCCAGAAAGGTGGGATCCAGATGGGAAACATACTCTCCTCTGCATGCCAGCTCTGCCTGGGTTGGTGCTAGGAAGGAAAGGTACAGAGGGCTGGGAGAGCGGAGGACGTCAGGGGCAACTAGGCTTCCCGGATGAGTGGAGTCGTCCCCGCCAGGAGAAGGAGAGAATGTTCTCGGAGGTGAGAATTGCATCTGGCTGGAGCCTTGTGGGAGAGGGAGACAGGAGGAAAGGAGAGAAGTCAGATGGGCAGGGGCCGAAGGGAAAGCTCCTTGGTAGAGTGTGTGAGGCACCACAGATTTTAAGAAGGATTTGTTAGGAAAAATTCCAAGAACCACAAAAGTCAACAGTAGTATAATTTGCATGTATTTGTCCCCAGCTTCAGTAGTTACCCACTGGCCCATCTTGTTTGATGTGCTGCCGCCCCCTGCCCTGAAGCCAATTCCAGTCTTCGTAGCTCCTCTGTAAAAGCTTCACTGTGTATCTTTAACATAGAAGGATATAAGTGCTGCTGTCACCTCCAACAAAATTAACAAAAATTCCAGCTGGACACGGTGGCTCACGCCTGTAATCCCAGCACTTTGGGAGGCTGAGGCAGGCGGATCATGAGGTCAAGAGATCAAAACCAGCCTGGCCAACATGGTGAAACCCTGTCTCTACTAAAAATACAAAAAAATTAGCCGGGCATGGTGGTGCGTGCCTGTAGCCCCAACTATTCGGGAGACTGAGGCAGGAGAATCACTTGAACCTGGGAGGCGGAGGTTGCAGTGAGCCGAGATCACCACTGCACTCCAGCCTGGGCAACAGAGCAAGACTCTTTCTCAAAACAAACAAACGAACAACAACAACAACAAAAAAAAAAACACAGAAAACCCACAAAAATTCTCTGATGTCATCTGAAACCCATTGTGTATGCATTCACACTTGTCTGATGACCCTTCAAGTGTCTTTTCTACAAGCGCCTTGTTTAAATTCATCTTGTATCTAAAGACGGCTGCACACTGCAGTTTGTTGAGGTTCTTCCTTCCTTCCTTCCTCCTTCCGTTCCCTTCCCTTCCGTTCCCTTTTCTTTCGTCTTGCTCTGTTGCCCAGACTGGAGTATGGTGGTCCAATCTTGGCTCGCTATATCCTCAATCTCCTGGACTCAAATGATTTTCCCACCTCAGCCTCCTGAGTAGCTGGGACTATAGGCACTTGCCATCATGCCTGGCTAACTTTAGTTTTTTAGAGACAGGGTTTGCCCATGTTGCCCAGGCTAGTCTTGAACTCCTGAATGCAAGCCACCTACCTGCCTCAGCCTTCCAAAGTGCTGGGATTACAGGCATGAGCCACTGAGCTTGGCTGAGGTATTTCTTAAATCTCTTTTAATTTATATCTCCCTCTCTACTTTTCATGCTCTGTATTTGTGGAAGAAATCAGGTTATTTGTCCTGTAGAGTTTTACAGTCTAGATTTGGCTGATTTTTTTCCCTAGCAAGCATACTCAGATGGAAAAATGAAAAACAGATTTTGCTGATTTTATCACCATGGTGTCATTTAATGTCCTCCTCTATCTCCCGTATTTCCAGTGAAGTGGTGGCTAAGCCTGTATATTGTTTAATCATATGTGCGGTAGGTTTTGGCAAGATACCTCCTTTGGTGGTGGTGTGTACGTCCGATTGTCAGGTGGTGTTGAGACTGATGAATTCAGCCATTGAGAGCTGGCTCCCTCTTTACATAAAGTTCTTTTCAGCCTTTCTACCAATGCAGTGGTTCACTGTGGATTTGCACTCATATTGCCTGGGAGCTTTGAAAACTCCCAGTGCCCTGGCTGTCCTATAGACATACCATTTCTTTTTCTTTTTTTGAGGCAGAATCTCACTCTTGCCCAGGCTGGAGTGCAGTAGCCTGCTCTCGGCTCACTGCAACCTCTGCCTCCTGGGTTCAAGTGATTCTCTTGCCCTCTTGCCTCAGCCTCCCAAGTAGCAGGATTACAGGCATGTGCCATCATGCCCAGCTAATTTTTGCTTTTTTTTTTTTTTTTTTTTTAGATGTAGTCTTGCTCTGTTGCCCAGGCTGGAGGGCAGTGGCACGATTTTTTAATCATTGTCTGAACCTGGTCTCGAACTCCTGACCTCAAGTAATCCACCCTTCTCAGCCTCTCAAAGTGCTGGAATTATAGGTGTGAGCCACGTGCTGGCCCTATTGTTCTTTTAAAAAACTTTGTGAGCAGTGAGGAGTTCCGGGGCAGGCCCTGACTCTTCGAGATACACCATGTACACCTGAATCTCTGGGACGGGATCCCTCCCTGCTTCCCAAGAGTCCCAGTACTTCCATTACTTAACTTTCTTATTGTGAAATATAATACACCCCAAAGGGCATAAAATATAAATGTACAGTTTCACAAATTATCATAAAGCCAACATTTATGGAGTTCGAACTGCGTACCAGGCACACTGCCTAACGCTAGTTAAGCCTGGGACTCCATGTAACAAATACGCAGGTTAAGAAATTGAGTCCAGGCGTGGTGGCTCACACCTATCATCTTAACCCTTTGGGAGGCTGAGGTGGGTGGATCACCTGAGGTCAGGAGTTTGAGACCAGCCTGGCCAATGTGATGAAACCCTTTCTCTACAAAAAATACAAAAATTTAGCTGGGCAGGGTGGCCCATGCCTATAGCCCCAGCTACTCAAAAGGCTGAGGCAGGAGAATCACTTGAACCCAGGAGGCAGAGGTTGCAGTGAGCTGAGATTGCGCCACTGCACTCCAGCCTGGGCAACAAAGTGAGACTCTGTCTCCACCCACCCCCAACTCCCCCCCCAAAAAAAGGAAAAGTGGAAAGAGGTCATTTCCCCACAGCCTCTGTATGTCTTTTTCTAGGAGAGACCCTCCTACCCCAACCATGCTCCCCAATGCACCTAATCTCACTCACTTCATTTGCTTATGGTTTTGTCAGCGGAACCATGCATCCCTAAACAATATAGTTTAGTTTTATCTCTTTTTGCACATTATTATTATTATTATTATTATTATTATTATTATTATTTGAGACGGAGTTTCGCTCTTGTTACCCAGGCTGGAGTGCAATGGCGCGATCTCGGCTCACCGCAACCTCCGCCTCCTGGGCTCAGGCAATTCTCCTGCCTCAGCCTCCTGAGTAGCTAGGATTACAGGCACGCGCCACCATGCCCAGCTAATTTTTTGTATTTTTAGTAGAGACGGGGTTTCACCATGTTGACCAGGATGGTCTCGATCTCTCGACCTCGTGATCCACCCGCCTCGGCCTCCCAAAGTGCTGGGATTACAGGCTTGAGCCACCGCGCCCGGCTTTATTATTTTTTTTTAGAGACAGAAGAGTCTCACCCTGTCACCCAGGCTGGAGTGCAGTGGCACAATCTCGGCTCACTGGACCCTCTACTTTCCGAGTTGAAGTGATTCTCATGCCTCAGCCTCCTGAGTGGCTGGGATTAAAGGCGTGTGCCATCATGCCAGGCTTATTTTTGTAGAGACAGGGTTGCGCCGTGTTGGCCAGGTTGGTCCTGAACTCCTGGCTTCAAGTGATCCACCTGTCTCAGCCTCTACAGTGCTGAGATTATAGGCATAAGCCACTTTGTCCATCCAGAGAGGTTCAATTTCTGTTCATTTCCCTCTTCCCCATAAATAATCCTTACCCCCACCACAGATGTTGGTTTATTCTATTATATAATTTTGAAAATATAAACATACAATTTATAGTTCCAGTTTCTTTTACATAAGGGGAGATACTGGAGATGCTGTCTGCCCTGGGCTGTATTGTGGCAGTCACTTGGTGACGGGTTATAGAGATCGTTTTATAGTTTTGTGGTACTCAATTGAGTAGATGTGTTAGAAATTCAGCTATTTCTCTTTTGATATACATTTTCGTTATTTCCACTCTTTCGTTATTACAGATTGTGCTGCAATGAATAGCCTTGTGCATACATTTTCTCAAGGAAGGGTTTTGAGCATGGTGGTAACCCGATCAAATTTGTATTGTAGAGGATTTCGTGACTGGGAGACAGTGAGAGTGGCCTGGGGAGGTGGGAGGAGGAGGGAGGCAGTGCTAGGCTTTCAGGGTGTGGACAGATTGATGAGATAGAACTGGAACTCACGTGGCTGTGTTCCCACTCCTTCACCTGCACCAGGGGTGTGTGTGTGCGTGTGTGTGTGTGTGTGTGTGTCTGCGAGTGGTGGGGTCATGTCCTCTTTGTGGGATAGATGGGGGTGATGTGACCATATCCCTCCTCACACGTCAGAGGGGAAATAATAGGACCCTGCCCTCCCCACGGGGGCAGTTCAGAGTGATGAAGCCGCGTTCCCTCTTCGTGGGGAGGTGAAATGATGGGGTGCCCTACCCCCATGGAGTAGTGGTAATGGGGCCATGCCTCTCTCCCCTACACTCTCTCCCCGTCTTCCCCAGGGTGTCGCGCCTGGCGTCCGAGAAGCGGGAGCTGGAGGTGCAGCTGGGCCGATCGCGCGAAGAAGCGGTGGCTGGGCGCGTGGCCCGCCAGGAGGCCGAGGCACTGCGTGGGTTGGTGCGTGGGCTGGAGCTGGAGCTGCGGCAGGAGCGCGGCCTTGGGCACAGGGTGGCCGGCCGCCGAGGCCAGGACTGCCGCCGCCTGGCCAAGGAGGTGAGCAGCGGGGACCTGGGGACGGCCAGCGAGGCATGGACCTTAGCCTCAGTCTGGACCTGTGTGCCTCTCTCCCCTCCCTGCAGCTCGAGGAGGCGAAGGCATCGGAGCGGAGCCTGCGCGCCCGGCTGAAGACACTGACCAGCGAGCTGGCCTTGTATAAGAGGGGGTGAGAGGCGAGGCCTGGGGGCGATTGGGTGGATGGGCGGGGCCTGGGAGGGGTGGAGCTTGAGAGAGGCAGGGTGGGGCCAGGTAGGGTAAATGGGGCGGGGCTTAAGGGGAGGCGGGGCTTAGTGGACCTCCTGGAGCCCAGACGTGTTTCCGGTGCAGTGGTTTGAAGGGGGACCCCACGCGCAGGCTTGGGGTTGGCGTTTGGGACGAGGGACTGGGAAAGGGGCTGGCCCGAGGGTCTCCTGGAGCAAAAGGGTGCGGCGCAGCAGGTGGGATCAGGGTGAGGTCTGCTGGTATTTATGGGGTGGGTGGTAGAAAATTGGGAAGGTTTTCGGGGGGTTGTGGAAGACTCCAGGAAGAAGGGTCTGGCGAAGGGGGTGTGTTGAAAACATGTAGGGAAATGACAGACGGGTGTTTTAGGGGATTGGGTGGGGCCTGGGGGAGGGTATCGGGTCCAGGAATGCAGTACACGTCTAGGAGCCGAGGGGATGCGCGTGAGGGTTCGGAGAGGGTGCGGTCGGGGAGGAGCCTCGCAATTAGGTTTGTCGGGGCTAGCGGGAGGCTGACAGCTACCCCTGTGGTCTCAGGAGGCGGACTCCGCCGGTGCAGCCGCCCCCGGCGCGGGAGGACCGGGCCTTGTCGTCCCGGGAGCGCTCCACGTCGCGAGGCCGCGGCGCTGCGCGCTCCTCATCCCGGGAGAGCGGCCGCGGGAGCCGGGGTCGGGGCCGACCCGCGCGCCCCTCGCCCTCGCCCACAGGTCTGTGTCCCTGCTGCGGTGGGAAGGGGACGCACTAGCGCTGCCTTGGCCCGTCCTGGCACCCACCCGCCTCTCCCACGCTGTCCTAGGTGGTCGCGCGCTCCGCTTCGACCCCACGGCCTTTGTGAAAGCCAAGGAAAGGAAGCAAAGAGAGATCAAGATGAAGTCAGTCCCCTTTCCTCCCTCTCCTGCTCCCGCCCCTGCCCCGTGCCCGCTCCCGGGCGCTCATCTCTCTGCGCCACCGTCCGTCCGCATCCCCTGCCACCTGCTCGATTCTCGCTGGCTACCCCGCCCGCTCCACCTTCCGTCTGCCCCACCTCCTCGTCTGTGTTTCCGTACGCTTTCCTCTCCTAGGCCCGTACCTCGGGCTGTCGTCGGCGTAGCTGTGACCTTTAGGGGCGCAGCGACCCCCTTGCCTGCAGGAGTTGGGTGCACAGACCGGCGTCTCCTTTCTTGCTTCCCAGGCAGCAGCAGCGGAACCGATTAGGCAGTGGAGGAAGCGGGGATGGTCCGTCCGTCTCCTGGCCTCGCCAGACCCGGCCCTCTGCTGCCGTGACTGGACGAGGGGACGCCCCTAACCTCTCGCGGAACCGTAGCTCCTCAGGTAACCGGCCTGGGGCTCGGGGCCGGCGGGCTGGGAGGAAGTAGGCGGGGCCGGCGGGCTGGGAGGGGCTGGGAGGCAGTGGGCGGGGCCGAGGGGGCTGGGAGGCAGTGGGCGGGGCCGGCGAGGGCACGAGAATCACGCCCACCGTCTCCCTTTAGTGGACAGTTTCCGCAGCCGCTGCTCGTCAGTCAGTTCCTGCAGCGATTTGGAGGATTTTTCTGAGTCGCTTTCCAGAGGGTAAAACTTGGACTTGGGGAGGACCACCTCGAAAGGGTTTCTGGGGAGACTAGAAACAGTCTTTTGCAGGGAAATTGGGTGATGGAGGCTGGGGTCCTTGAAACCACAAAGGTGGGGGACGTGGGAAGTTCCAGAGCCTCCCCACCACTGGTCCTTGATTACTCCTTTCTCGCAGGGGTCCCCGCCGCCGTGGCAAGCCTCCCAGCCCAACGACCTGGAGTGGGTCCAATACGGTGAGTAGAAGGGGTAACATAAACCACTGGAACACAGCTGTCCCCATTTGCCGTGATTCCTTCCTGGGGACCAAGTGCAGAGGCGACTCTGAATCCTTTGGCAACAGGGCTTTTTTGTTTCAGAGTCTCGCTCTGTCCTCCAGGCTGTGGTGGGACAGTCGCCACTCATAGCAGCCTTCAACTCCTGGGCTCAAGGGACCCTCCCACCTTGGCCTCTGGAGTAGCTGGCACTAGACTTTTTTGGGGAAGAGGTGGGGTTGAGACTGCGTAAGGGGCGTAGTGTTGTCTCTTTATGTTGCCCAGGCTGGCCTGGAACTCCTGGCCTCAAGCCATCCTCAGCCTCCCACAGCGCTAAAGTGACAGGCTGAGCCACCACACGTGGCCTGGGAACAGCGGGTTTAGAGAGCTTTGGATTGGAGGAGGAATAATGAGGGGCACATCATGCTCTTTAGGGCTTTGACTTCTGATTGTCAGGTCTTAAAACCTGGCTCCTTCTCCTACTAGTTGTTTGATTCCAGGCAGTTTTTTTTTTTTTTTTTTTTTTGAGACAGAGTTTCGCTCTTGTTGCCCAGGCTGGAGTGCGATGGCGCGATCTCGGCTCACTGCAACCTCTGCCTTCCGAGTTCAAGCAATTTTCCAGCCTTAGCCTTCCTAAGTAGCTGGGATTACAGGCGCACAATGCTACACCTGACTAATTTTGTATTTTTAGTAGAGATGGGGTTTCTCCATGTTGGTCAGGCTGGTCTCGAACACCCGACCTCAGGTGATCCGCCTGCCTCAGCCTCCCGAAGTACTGGGATTACAGGCTTGAGCCACCGCACCCGCATTCAAGGCAGTTCATTCGCCTCTCTGTACCTTAGTTTTTATCCGTTCACTAGGGTTGGTAATGGCATCACCTCCCGGGGCTATGTGAGCGTGCCAGGAGGTTATTTTGCATATAATGAATGCCCAGTAGGTGTCAGGCTTTATTTTTCCCCAAGGTCCTTAGGCTCAGGATTTCCAGTGGGATTTGGGGGCACAGGAATAGAGGGACGGTGGCTGACCCCCTTTCCTCCCTTCCCCATCACCAGAAGTCTACCCCTGTGGAACACAGCCACCATGAGAAACGTCTGGCCAATTCCGGGGGCTGGGTCCCCATCAAAGGTGAGCCTGGGACTCCACATCCCCTCTCCCAGCCCCAGCTCCTGTTGGCATGGTAGGGGGGCAGTGGTATATTGGGGAGCCCCCCACACCCACACCTCTCACAGAGTACAGCTCGGACCACCAGGCGGCTGACATGGCCGAAATAGATGCACGTCTGAAGGCTTTGCAGGAGTACATGAACCGACTGGACATGCGGTCATGACATGGAGAGGGGGTACTGCCCCTCCATCCCCCACCCACCACTGAGTATGGCGTGGGAGGTGGGGCCAGGGTGGCCAGGCCCTGCCCTGACCCCACCCCTCTACGTGCCCCTGGGGTCTCAGGCGTGTGAGGCCCTGACCCCAGCCTCTCCCCAGGCGGTACATGCTGGGAGGGAGGATATGTGCATTTTGTAAATAAACATATTTGCCCTTGGGACCCCTCAGCTTATGACTAAAGGGTGAGGGTGGAGTGGGGAGAAATGTAGAGGAAGAGAAATTGCGGTGTATAACTGGAACCTGTGCGTCTGTGCCTCAGAGGCAGATCCGGCCTCAGGCCCAGGAAAAACTGGCATACTCTCTAAACCAGGCGTCCCCAAACTTTTTACACAGGGGACCAGTTCACTGTCCCTCAGACTGTTGGAGGGCCGCCACATACTGTGCTCCTCTCACTGACCACCAATGAAAGAGGTGCCCCTTCCTGAAGTGCGATGGGGTGGGGTGGGCCGGGGGGGGGGGGGCCGGATAAATGGCTTCAGGGGGCCGCATGCGGCCATGGCCGTAGTTTGGGGACGCCTGCTCTGAACAGTGCAAGGGCAGACCTGGGGGGAGGAGTGAGTAGCCAGTCCCCAAAGGAGTCCAAGCAGAGGTTCTATGCAGGATATCTTTGGCTGTGTGGTGGGAAGGGGGTATCTTGCAGTGTGGTTCACTGCCCAGGAGGACCCCCAGCTGTTACTGTGACATCCAGGCCGCCGTGGTGCTGATTCCTGGGCTCTGACCTGAGACCTCTGGGTTCTGAGCTGTGATGTTGCTCTCGAGCTGGGATCTCCGGGGTCTTGGTTCAGGGCCGGGGCCTCTGGGTTCGGAGCACCAGCGACGAGAGTGCTGGGAGGGAGGGGTGGGAGGGCTTGGGTCTTGTGGGAGGGAGAGAAGGAGCGGGAGGTGCCGCGGGACCTGCCCAGGAATACATTTTGAGCTGCAGCTGCACCTTTATTGGAGGAGGCGGCAGTGGGGTTTGGGCCGTGGGAGGAGAGGAATGGGGTACCACCCAGCAGGGCTTCAGGAGGCACGGTAGTGTGGCCAGTTCTGGATGATACTGTAGAGCTGGTCTCCTGGAGAGAGCGTAGGCTGCACATCCCGGTGCCCTTTGACCTCATATTTGGAGCTCAGGGCTCTCTGAGCCACGCCGCAGGCCAGCAGACCCTGGGCTGCCCGGAGGGCCCGGGCTGGGGGCACCCGATCTGGGGAGGCAGAGGCAGGAGTGAGGCGGGGCTTCCTGAAGGGCAGTGGTAGTGTAGGATAGTGGGTTTGATTGTGTCCTCTGAGCTGGACTTCACTCTCTGTGCCTCAGTTTCCTCATCCGCGAAAGGAGAGAATAATGGCACCTACCCACAGGGCTGTGGGAGGTAAGAGGAACTACTTTTACATAAAATCCACAAAGTGGCACCTGGCACGGAAGAAGCCCTTAGCAAGCCTTGGCGGTCATAATGATGATTGTGTATTCTCATTCCCCTGTCGCCAGACCTCTGGCTCCCGCCCACAACAATAGCCAACATCAATCAAGTGCTTCTTAGGAACTGTGGCCTGATGGAAGGATTTTTTTTTAAATACGGAGTCTTGGTCTGTCACCAGGCTGGAGTGCCATGGTGTGACCTCGGCTCACTGCAACCTCCGCTTCCCAGGTTCAAGCAACTCTCCTGCCTCAGCCTCCTCAGTAGCTGGGACTACAGGCACCTGCCTGGCTAATTTTGGTATTTTTAGTAGAGATGGGGTTTCACCATATTGGTCAGGATGGTCTCAATCTCCTGACCTCATGATCCGCCTGCCCTGGCCTCCCAAAGTGCTGGGATTACAGGTGTGAGCCACTGCGCCTGTCTGGCGGAAGGATTTTTTTTATCAGCTAATTCTCACCCGCACCCTGTGGTTGGAAATGACCCACATTTTCCAGTGGTGGAAACGAGGCTCAGAAAATTGAGTCACTTGCCCGAGGTCATGGAGCTTGTAGGTGGTGAAGCCTGTCAGCCACTGGCTGCCATGTCCCCGCCCTCCTCAGGCCCCACGTGAGCCCCCATCCTAACTGGTGGGACAGTTACTCACCCATGTAGTTGCCCATGAAGGTGATGCCGATGGACATGGTGTTCCAGAGGTGACTCGAGTGGTCTCCCTTGAAGCCCCAGCCACGGCCCTCATACACGAGCCCATCTTCTCCAATCAAGAAGCTGCACGGGGAGGTGGGGGGCTTGATGGATGAGGGAGGGCTTCCCGAGAGGGACTCCTGCCCTTTCCTCCACTCACCTTGCCTCGGTTCCTGCCCCGGGACACACAACTTCCCCAGCATCCTGCTCTTCCCTTCATTTCCCATGACTGTTAACAATGACTGTGATCATTTATTGGGCCCCTGGCATGTGCCAAGCACAGCTCTGCATGCAGCTGTTTTTCCATCCTCACTGCAACCCTGTAAGTCTCCACCACCCCCATTTTATAGAGACAGAATCAGAGCGATAGAATCACCTGCCCCACGTCACAGCCCATCAGGGTCACAGCTGGGGTTTTCACCCAGGCCTCCGAGGTCCCCACCCATGTGATCTTGTGCCTTGCTCCCTCCTGCCTCCCTAGAGGATTTCTGGAAGCCTCGTTTTGCTGAATCCTTGCAGGGCTGCCCTCTGAGGCAGGGACTGTTACCATCCTCGTCTTAAGCGGAGAGAGCTGAGACTCAGCGACATGATTTGTACAAGCTCCTCAGAGCCCCCTTCGTCTCAGAACTCTGCCCTCGCCCCAGCCTGCTTCCTGCCCTTGGGGTCCACTGGGGTGACAGGATCAGAGACAAAGTCGGTGTCACAACCGGATACCGACCCTGGAGCCCCAGCACCTGGTTTCCAAGCCTGGCAAAATCCTTAAGGCTGATTGATTCAGCACATCTGATTAAACGCATCTGACTTGGCACAGGGGAATGACCTAGAACATCAGTGTCTTGGAGCTGTAGTATGTGCCAGCTCAGCCCTGGTGCTCACAGCTTCCTTAATGATGCACAGACTGTCGGAACTTCCGAATCATGAGTCCTGAATCTACCGCTTAGGAAGCCAGCTCCCAGAATCTGGCCTCGGTGATGCTGGCTGCTGGGACTGGCTGGTTATGGCCGTGCCTTATTCCTGGTGCCTGGCATGGCAGTGGAGGGAAGGGGGGTGGCTGGTTCTCCCTGGTCATTTGTTGCATGAATACATTTAAACCTCAGCCACCATTGCCAAGTGGGCACAGTCAAAAGCCCTATTTACGGGTGAAGAAACTGAGGCTCAGAGGGAGAATGTGACATGACCTGGAAAGGGGATTCAGAACATTGGAACCAGATTCTGAATCCTAAAAGCTGAGCGCCGGACTTGAGGCTGCTTCTCTGTGTGGTGGTGTAGACCCGAGGCTGCAGAGCCTGACCTCATGGGAATGCTTAGAATCCGGCACTTGAGTCTTGGAAACAAAACCTTGAACTTGGAGTCTTTGATAAACTCTTGGAAGAGCTGGGAATACCTTTGGAAACCTCTAGACTTCTTTGGGTGGGGTCTGTTTTTTTGTTTTGTTTTGTTTTGTTTTTTACTTTTTTTTTCATGACATAACCTCAGAAGGTCCTGAGAACATGTGACCCCGAGTGGGGTCTATTGGGGACCTGGGGATCTGGGGACCCATGTGTTCCTCCAGTAAGCTCTGCAGGGGATTCTGATGCTTACCTGGGTCTGAGCCTGCAGGGTTCAAACCTTCCTTCTCCTTGGAAATCCTCAGGCTGGATTGCAGCCCATTGTAAGGAGGCAGTAGCTGGTAAGCGTGGCTAGGGCGCGCTTCAGCAGGCACCCTTTAGAGTCTGTTCTCCCCACGGCCGCCAGAGAGAGCCTCTTAGACCAGCCCTGGTCCCTGCTCTTTGCACGGAAGCCTCCCGTGGCTCCCATCTCACATCTCACAGTAAAAGCTACAGTTTTCACTGTGGTCCACAAGGCCCTGCCTGGTCCCGCCCTTTCCTCATTTCATTCTGCTCCTCTGGCTGTGTTCAGCCACCTTGCCCTTCCCACGGGACCCGCCCACTCAGCCTCGTTGGCTTTGCGTTCTGCACCCCTCCATCGGCTCCCACATTCCAGAGCCAAGGCAGCCGCTCTCCAGGAGGCCTTCCCTTGCCCCTCCCTTCCAAGGAGCCCGTGTGGGTCTGGCCCCAGCCTGAGGTCACCCTCCCTCACCTTGTTCCTTTCATCCATCACTTCTGTGGCCCTCTGAATTCACCTGTAGCCTTGGCTTGTTTCTCCCTGCTAATCTTTAAACCCTGGGAGGCTAGAGTGGCACCGTTCTCCATGGCACATCTGGCGTGCTGCCTGGCGCATAGTAGGTCTCTAAAGGCAATAGCTTGTGGCTTTGCAGGCCCCTGTGTGCCAGGCAGTGTCCTAGGTGCTTTGCCTGTATTGGTTCATTTAAGGAGCAGGTGGGGCGCAATCCCTTGGACTTTGCCGAGGAGAAAGCTGAAGCTGGGAGGACCTGCCCCAGCTGGGGAGGGACCTGCCTCAGTCCTCAGCCAGAGTAAGCTGAGCTGATCCTGGAACCTGGCTCTGCACTGAGTCAGCCTGGTTTTCTGTCTCCCAACAAAGGCACCAGGCATCAGGAAGGGGCGCCTTCAAAAGGTGTCGCGGACATGTTGGTGTGTGTTAGGCAAAGCCTGCCCCATCCTCCGGGGAGCGGGGCTTGGATTTCAGCCCTTCCCCTCTTCCCCGTGGCGTCTTTATGCTGTGCGCTCCTGCCCCATGTCTGCCCCGACCCATATGGTGACCCAAGGGAGAAACAAGAACTGCGAGGTTCAGTAAGCTGCCCGGGGTGTCAGCCGGGTGGCCCCAGCACTGATCCCGCTGGCGGGGGCTTGCACACCTTTGCCTCTGGGGTCCCCAGCCCGGCCCGTGCCTCCCTGCCGCACTCACTTGTAGCCCACGTCGCACCAATTCTCTCTCTTCATGTGGTAGTGCTGCACATTCTGGGCCTGCTGCTGACACGAGGCTGGGGTGTTGCAGCTGCTGCCCGCTGTGTGCGACACCACCACGTAGCGCACGGGCTGGCTCAGGGGCGTGGTGCACTTTGACGCCAGGGCCCCCCACTCCCTCCGTGGCACTATGGGGCTGCAGCAGGCCGGGGCTTTTGTCTTCTGAGCCTCCCCGAGCCGAAGGAGGCTGAGGAGAGCCCAGGCGAGCAGCGCGCAGCGACGGGACATAGCGGCAGTGGCGCGGGGACCGCTAGGAGCGCGCAGTGGTGGGGCCACCTTTATCTGCTGGAGGATTCCGGGAGTGGCCCGGAGAGTCTTGCTTCACACCCTGCCGGCACTTCCCCGCTGGTCCTGCAGACCCGAGACTTGGCTTCCTTCTCTGGCAGGGCCAGGGCGGGATGCACTGGGGTTGGGGTCTGGGTCACGCCCATGGCAATGACAGGACCCCCTCGCTCAGCAGGGAGGGACGCACAGGCCCCTGGGCGCTTTGCCCCGCCGTTTCTGGAAGAGTTGGGGCCGGGATCCCGGTCCTGCTTGTCTCCTCTCAGTGGAACATTGAATAACTCAGCAGGAACTTACACTGCAGAGACCCGGGGCATTGGCACATCTTCTCCCCGCAAGGATTGAGGTACCAAAAGTGCCTATTTTAAAAACACTTCCTTCTCCCAGGTCCAAGCCTGATGCCATTTACCCTTGCAGCAAACTCAAGAGTTGAGTATCTGGAAGCCCATTTCACAGTGGAGTAAACCGACGTTGGGAGCAGGGAAGTCATGGGCTAGAGCCAGACTGCCTGCGAGTGAATCCCGGACACTCTGTGCGAGAGCCTGCAAGGGATTTTTAAAAATATGTATTTAAAAATATTTTTTAATTGTATTTTTAATAAAATTTTACTTTTTTTTTTTTTCTTTTTTTTTGAGAGGGAGTTTTGCTCTTGTCACCCAGGCTGGAGTGCAGTATAGTGATCTTGGCTCACTGCAACCCAACTTCTGCCTTTCGGGTTCAAGGGATTCTCCTGCCTCAGCCTCTGGAGTAGCTGGGATTATAGGCACGCACCACCATGCCCAGCTAATGTTTGTATTTTTAGTAGAGACCAGGTTTCACCATGTTGGTCAGGCTGGTCTCCGCCTCCTGACCTCAGGTAATGCACCCGTCTCGGCCTCCTAAACTGCTGGGATTACAGGCGTGAACCACTGCACTCAGCCTAATTTTTGTAATAATAAAACTATATGTATACATGGAGAGAGATGGGCTCTCACCGGGTTGCCCATGGTTGGTCTTGAACTCCTGAGCTTGAGCCATACTCTCGCCCTGGCCTCCCAAGGTGCTGGGATTACAGGCATGAGCCACTGTGTCTGGCCAGCCTGCATGTGATTTAACCTTCCTGTGGGGATATATAAAACACCCAACTCAGAGGGTTGATGAGGGATTAGTTGAGTTGCAGAAGCAGAGTCCTTAGAAGGTGTCTGGCACAGAATGCCATAGCCCTATCCCTGGGTCTGGAACTCCAGCCTGTTCTTGGTAGGAAGAAACATGCTTTATGCACGGGTATCTCTGGCAGCTTAGTTAGGGAGAGGAGGGAATCTGGGGTCTGTAGAGAAACAGCCATTTGCCCAGGGCCAGAGTGGGTTGGGGTCACCTGTTGGAGCAGAAGGCTTTCCTAGGCCCTCTATCCTGCCCGGGTCCCCTTCCTGTGTCTTCCCAGTGCTCGTGGTGAGTCCAGGGCAGACTGCCTGGTTTGCTCTTCTTTCCCTTCTACTTCACTGGCTCTTTAAAAAATTGCAAAAGGGATCTCTCATTTGCTCTCTGACAAGGAAATCAAAATAAATAAATTACAAAAGCAACACATGCTTTAAGAAGTTGAATTGATACAAAATGTTAGTCACCTGTGTCCCACCCCTCCAGCTCTGCCCACATGAGGCCACCTGAGAACAGTATGGTGTGTGTTCTTTTTCTTCTTTCTTTCTTTTTTATTTTTTTGAGACAGAGTTTCGTTCTTGTTACCCAGGCTGGAGTGCAATGGCGCGATCTCGGCTCACCGCAACCTCCGCCTCCTGGGTTCAGGCAATTCTCCTGCCTCAGCCTCCCGAGTAGCTGGGATTACAGGCATGTGCCACCATGCCCAGCTAATTTTTTGTATTTTTAGTAGAGACGGGGTTTCACTATGTTGACCGGGATGGTCTCGATCTCTCAACCTCGTGATCCACCCGCCTCGGCTTCCCAAAGTGCTGGGATTACAGGCTTGAGCCACCGCGCCCGGCCTCTTTCTTTTTTATTTTTTTGAGACACAGCCTCCCTCTGTTGCCCAGGCTGGAATGCAGGCTCAATCTGGGCTCACCGCAAGCTCCGCCTCCTATGTTCAAATGATTCTCCTGCCTCAGCCTCCCAAGTAGCTAGAATTACAGGTGTGTGCCACCATGCCCAGCTGATTTTTATATTTTTGTAGAGACAGCGTTTCACCATATTGGCCTGGCTGGTCTTGAACTTCTGACCTCAGGTAAGCTACCGCGGCTAACCAGCGTGGTGTGTTTTCATCCTCCGTGTTCTGCATTCTCATGTACATTGTACTCAGGCTGTTATTGAATTGTGCACTAGGCATCTGTAGCACTTTTCAGAAATTATCATATACTCACAATAAGCTTGCAAGATACATGTTATTATTAACCCCTTTTATAGTTAATGAAACGGAGGCTGGTGGGGGCGGGGTCGGTGATGATCACATACAGGAGGTGGTAAAGCCAGGGTTTGGCCACAGGCTTTCTGCCTCCAGAGTTCTAAACCGTATTCTCCTCCCTACAAACTTATATATGGACATTAAAAAAAAAAATCTAGGCCGGGCGCGGTGGCTCAAGCCTGTAATCCCAGCACTTTGAGAGGCCGAGGCGGGTGGATCACGAGGTCGAGAGATCGAGACCATCCTGGTCAACATGGTGAAACCCCGTCTCTACTAAAAATACAAAAAATTAGCTGGGCACGGTAGCACATGCCTGTAATCCCAGCTACTCAGGAGGCTGAGGCAGGAGAATTGCCTGAACCCAGGAGGCGGAGGTTGCGGTGAGCCGAGATCGCGCCATTGCACTGCAGCCTGGGTAACAAGAGCGAAACTCTGTCTCAAAAAAAAAAAAAAAATCTAAACCATCTGCCTCAATGTCACCTAATATTTTATGGGCATCTCTCAAGTGCAGTAGACTTAATTCTAATTTATTCTTTATAATAGTTGCACAATATGCCCTCGTATCAGTTCAGCATTGTGGATCTTTTCGTTTTTGAAGGTTTTCCAGTTTTTTTCCCCCACTACATAAAATAGTTTCAAACATAAATCCCTGTGCACTGGTGCATTTATAAGTAAATTATAATCACAGAGTTATTAGGTCAAAGAGTATACATATTTAATTACTATTCCTAGATTGTTTTCCCCCCAAAGTTAGTCATACTTCATATTTTTCTTTTCTTTTTTTTTGAGACAGAGTTTTCACCTTGTTGCCCAGACTGGAGTACAGTGGCACAATCTCGGCCCACTGTAACCTCCACCTCCCAGGTTCAAGCAATTCTCCTGCCTCAGTCTCCCAAGTAGCTGGGATTACAGGCATAAGCCATCACATGGGGCTAATTTTTTGTATTTAGTAGAAATGGGGTTTCACCATGTTGATCAGGATGGTCTCGAACTCCTGACCTCAGGTGAACTACCTGCCTCCTAAAGTACTGGAATTACAGGCATGAGCCATGGCACCCAGCAATAATTCATATTTTTCACCAGTAATGTTTTGTAACCTCCTCACCCCAGAAATGGATGTTATTACTTCTTTTTTTTTTTTTTTTTTGAGACAGAGTTTCGCTCTTGTTACCCAGGCTGGAGTGCAATGGCACAATCTCGGCTCACCGCAACCTCCGCCTCCTGGGTTCAGGCAATTCTCCTGCCTCAGCCCCCTGAGTAGCTGGGATTACAGGCACGCGCCACCACGCCCAGCTAGTTTTTTGTATTTTTAGTAGAGACGGAGTTTCACCATGTTGACCAAGATGGTCTTGATCTCTCGACCTCGTGATCCACCCGCCTCGGCCTCCCAAAGTGCTAGGATTACAGGCTTGAGCCACCGCGCCCGGCCTTTTTTTTTTTTTTTTTTTTTTTTTTTTTTTTTTTTTAAATGAAGTCTCACTCTGTCACCCAGGCTGGAGTGCAGTGGCACAATCTCAGCTCACTGCAACCTCCACCCCTGGGTTCAAAGCCATTCTCCTGCCTCAGCCTCCCAAGTAGCTGGGACTACAGGGGCATGCCACCACACCCAGCTAATTTTTGTATTTGTAGTAGAGACAAGATTTCGCCATGTTGGCCAGATTGGTCTTGCACTCTTGAGCTCAGATGACCCACCCACCTTGGTCTCCCAAAGTGCTTTTTTGTCAATTACCTATTCATATCCAGTGCCCATTAAAAAATACTAGGTTGTTTGCCTTTTTTGTTATTTTTTGCAAAATGAGCAAAAGAATCCCGAAGTTGGGATTGTTGAGTTCTTAGGTGTGTACATTTTGTGTATTTCAGGTTTTTTTAGAAGCACTAAAGAGTAACATAATATAAAAAGTGTACAAACGCTTTTTTTTAACAGAGCTGACAGACTGTAGTGAGCTTATGAATTTGCATGAAGTGAATCCACCTTTGTATCCAGTGCCTGGATTTAGAAGTAGGGTTACACTTAAAATTTTAATAGGAATTAGCAAATACAATACCAAAAAGATTATAGTATTTATTTTTTCTACAATATGATCAGTTTTTAAGTGTTTTACTAATCCAAAGAACAAGATTTCATTATTGCTTTATTTGTATTTCCTTGAACATTAGAGAGGTGATTATCTTTCTACATGTTTATGGCTATCAGTATCCATTTTCAAGTCATCTGTTTCTCTCATCATTTTCTTGTTGAGTTATTGTATATGGGGGATATTAGCCCTATGTCTTATCAGATGTGCTACAAACCTTCTAATCTGTTAAAAAAAAAATCTAGATTTTTCTTTTATGGTTTCTATGTTTCCTGTCTTGCCGTAAGAGGGACTTTTCACACTAAGATTGTAAAACTTTTTCTATTTAAAAAAGATTATTTTGTGTTTTACTTTTAGATCTTTACCTTGGCTAAAATGTATACTTGCATGTGGTGTGAGGTAGGGGTCTGAGCTTGTTTACAGATGGCTAGCTGTTTGGCCAAGTACTATTTATTATATAAGTGATATGATTTTAAATTTCCATTCTGCCCCTTATTAGCTGCATGATCT